CCATAGATATTAACTATTCTTTAGCTAAAACACAATTTGCCCTTCTACCAAGCATTGCAATAACATTAGGTTAACGACATCAAAAACATTCACTATCAAAGATCTTATCTTGTTTTCCAAGAGTATGGATCACTCTAGAAGAGTTTTATTTATCGAAGTTGTAAAGATTGCCAAGCTGATTTTTGTCATGCCAATTACTAATCCTTTTAGTAAAAAATCTTTCAACAAAGTTCCGCCTTAGCAACCTACCAGTTCTTCATACTCACGTGGAAGCAGCGGACAAAATTGATTTGATTGAGATTGCAAATGAGTTTATTAATAAATATCAAACAGGAATAAAACATTTTCGGAAATTTCAGTAGAGATAAACGATGTTTAACGCAAGTTCAGTAGAGATTAACGATGTTTAACGCATTTTTATTTGTTTCATAGATGTGGAGTTTGATGATTATTAAATATACATTATAAATAAAAATCAAAACTTTTCGTTATCCGCCTCGCTCCTTTAAAATAACTATATGTCCCCCTAATATCAAAATGGTTACGGCTCTGATATAAAATATGTATACATAAATATATATATATATATATATATATATATATATATATATATATATATATATATATATATATATATATATATATATATATATATATCTTTATATAAACATATATATATATATATATATATATATATATATATATAAACATATATAAATCCCATATGTGGGGTTTATATATGCTTGTTTTGAAACCGAAATAAATAAGTCAACATTAAATTTTTTTAGCTTTTATCAAATATAAAGTAAAACACAATTCAAGATCTACAAAACAGATTTTATAGCACATCAATTGAATATAATTAGAATAACATGAGTTTTAATAACCTTATTGTTAAAAGTGTTTTATTATATACGGCTTTTGTTGCTTATTACCGGTTTTATCTAGTTTTTCTTGATTATACAATTTTGGATTGTAAAAGTTTTTGTTACGGATATTACTTTGTTAACACGAGGTTACAAGAAAGAGAATAACTTAGCTAAACCCTTCTCAATTAACGTCTAAAATGATTAAAGTTTTTTACATGGCGCCCGATGCAAAATACGAAATCTGAACGAAGAATATTGCCAGAAGAAAAATAATCATCCAATTGAACTCAAAAAAAAAAAAAAAAAAAAGAATCGATTTGACTCACAAAAGTCTTGAACATTTGATTCGGTGTAAGATTTGAATTGTGTAAACAAGTGTGTTGGTAAGAAATAACATATTGCTTTTGTTGATTGATAGTGAATTTGTTGTTGCTTACATATTTTTATTGCTCATTGTGTTTATTGTGTATAAGAGCGAGTGAAAAATTGTATAGAGACTGTAAAGTAGTATTAAATTATAAGTTATACATTTGTATAGTAGTAGTAGAATATAAGTTATGGCTGCAATATTAGGTAGAAAGATAGCTCAAAAGAAAGCACTAAGAAGTATCTTTTAAAAAAATGTTGTAGAAATAAGTCAGGCGTTAGAAGACCCTGACACCTCACAGTTTAGGTTTATAGCTTTAAAAAATAGTTTGAGTGACTCTTATACAAATTTAAATAATATTGATGAAGAAATAATTAATATACTTGATCCAAATGAGGTTGAGGAGGATGTTTTAGCAAGGGTGGAAATAACTGATCCATTTCACAATATACTTTCTAAAATAAATCTAAGGTTAGAATCTTTAAAATTAGGGTTTGATAATAATTCTGAACAGAGTTCTAAAAATAAAATTAATTGTAGATTGCCAAAAATTGAACTTCCAATTTTTAAGGGTAATTTTTTAAAATGGCAAACATTCTGGGATCAATTTAATGTTGCCATACACAACAATGATGACCTAAATGATATTGATCGTTTCAATTATTTAAAAAAATATTTAGGAGGCCAAGCATTGACTACCATTTGTGGTTTAACCTTATTGTCAGAAAATTATAGAGAAGCAGTTTCTTTATTGACTGCACGGTAACCCACAAATTTTAATCTCTGCACACATGGATTTATTATTAAAACTTGTGAAAGTAAAAAATACTGATAATGTTGATGGCTTAAGAAAACTTTATAATGATATAGAAGCAAAAGTTCGAAATTTGAAATCATTAAAAGTTGAAACCAACACATATGGAAGTCTTTTGATTCCTATATTAAAAGAAAAAATACCAGATAATTTAGTTCTGTTAATTTCGAGGATTTGGTGGGGAGGTTTGGACTATAGATTTATTACTAAAATATTTTCGAGAAGAATTAAATGCAATAGAGCGTTGTTCGACTTATAGTCGAAATGTTGAAAACAGAAAAAATAATACTCAGTTATTCACAACTGCAGGATTATATTCGCAGAACATTAATCAGAACTCTGAGAATAATTACAAAAAAGTTTTTCCAAAACCATTTGATAGTGATTACCAAAACAAAAGAAATTATAATTATTCTTGCATATACTGTTCAGAAAATCACAACCCCTGGGAATGTAAAAACGTGACAAATTTTTCAACCAGAAAAGAAATTTTAAAAAAGCAAGGTAGATGTTTTAATTGTCTTAGAACGAATCAAATATTGAAGAATTGTAAAGCAAATTATATTTGTAGTAAATGCAAAAAAAAAAAAGCATCATATTTCCTTGTGTGAAAAAAAAAAACACTTTTGTTGGGCATGCAACACATAACATTTCCCAACAAACTATCTTGTTGCAAACAGCTAGGCCAAACATAAGTGCAGTTTCAGAAAATAAGTCTTTAAAGGCAAGAATCTTATTTGATAGTGGAAGCCAACGATTATATATAAGTGAAAATATTCATAAACGATTAAATTTAAAAACATTAGGAAAGAGAAAATTATAATAAAAACATTTGGGAAAGATAATGAACAAACATTGCAATTATTAAATGCTGTTCAATTTATGGTCAAACATAAATATACTGAGCACAGTGTTTATATGGAAGCTTTATGTGTACCTGTTATTTTTAGCCCTCTGCAAGGGTAAAACGTGTCATTAGCTTGTAATCAATTTAAACAATTATCCAAATATTCATTAGCTGATTATGATGATGGGTCTCTTGATTTTCATGTTGATATTTTAGTAGGTATAGACTTTCATCACAGTTTTATTACTGGAAGAATCGTAAGAAGTCCAATAGGTGGTCTAGTAGCTAGTAAATCAATCTTAGGGTGGGTATTAAATGGTCCTATTTCTATGGAAAAAAGTACAAAAAATACCACAAAAACAGTTTTTACAAGTCATTCTATGCACTGTGAGGTTGAGAGTGAAATAGATATATATAACAAAGTTACCATTCAAAATTGATCATGATTTTTTACCTGATAACTATAATATTTGTAATAAACGTCTGGCTTATTTAAAGGTAAGATTAAATGATAAACAACTGGTTACAGAATATAATCAAGTTTTTATAGACATGAAAAGAATAGTATAATAGAAAGAGTTAGTGAGTCCGATATATTTAAAGAACCAGGGTGTGTGCATTATTTTCCTCATAGGCCTGTCATTCAAAGAGATAAGGATACTACAAAAATTAAAGCTGTTTTTGATGCGTCCTGTTCGACAACAGGACCGTCTTTAAATGATTGCTTGTATTCAGGTCCAAATTTATTATCAAAAATATTTGATATTTTACTAAAATTTAGTTTTAATGCTATAGGGATAATTGCTGATATAAAGCAAGCATTCTTAAACATTGAAATCTCTCCTGAACACAGAGATTACTTGGTACGAGAGAATATCTGATAAAGAGGCTAAACTAATTGTATATAGATTTCTTAGAGTTGTTTTTGCTTTAACTAGCAGTCCTTTTCTTTTAAATGCCTTTTTAAAACACCATCTTAATAAATACATTAAACATGATGAAAAATTTATTGAAAGACTAAAAGATGATCTTTATATTGACGACATTTTAAAAGGGAAAATGCTTTATAAAAAATCTAAATATATACTTTTAAATGCAGGATTCGAATTAGGAAAATGGATTACAAATGATCACGAATTACAAAATTATTTTAATAAAAAGGAAACAAATCAAAGTGAAAACTCAAAATGTAATCTAAAAGTTGATAAATTAAAATGTTTTGAAAGTTAAATTATTAAAAATGAAAACAATAATAGTTTTATAAAAATTTTAGGAATTGAGTGGGATATATTAAAAGATGAATTTGTTTTTGAGTTTGATGAATTAGTTAAAAATGCAAGAATGCTAAAAATTACTAAAAGAAATATTCTTAAGATGGCAGCATCTTTCTTTGATCCTCTATGTTTTTTAACACCAATAACTTCAAGAGTAAAAACAATTTTTCAATTAATTTGTAGAGAAAAGAGTGGATGGGATGAAATAGTAACAGAAGCAATAGAATTGGCTTTGATAGAATTTTTAAAGGATCTTGAATTATTAAGTTTTGTTAGAATTCCAAGATTTGTGTTTGAGAGAGTTAATGAGAGTAGTAAGCGTGTTCAATTGCATGGATTTTGTAACAGTTCTAAATTAATTTATTGTGCTGTTATATATCTAGTTGTAGAAACTAGTTTAGGAGTGAATAGGAAGTTTTTAGTTTCAAAGTCACATGTTTCACCCTTAAAAGAATTAAGTATACCTAGATAAGAGTTATTAGGTTGTGTGTTACTGAGCCGACTTTTAGAGGAAGTGTTAAGAGTTTTAAGTGCACTTTGAGGATGTAAGTTGCTGGTGTGATTCAGAAGTGGCATAGTATTGGATTAAGGGTAAGGAAAGAACGTGGAAACCATGGGTGGCGAATAGAGTGAATGCCATTAGAAAAGTGGTTGATAGAGAAAAATGGAATCATATTAATGGGGAGTTGAACCCAGCTGATTTTCCTACTCTAATAAGTAATTTTGTTGATTTTGGACATTGGTTGAAAGGACCAGAATTTTTCTTAAATATGAATAAAGAGATAAAGAGAATGAATTTAAAGTAGATAAAAAGTTTCAGGTTGATATTATGTCTGAGTGTAAGAAAAGAGAAAATGTAGTTATTTGTAATGTTGTTTTGGACTCATCACCAAGTTTGAGTAGTATCATTGATGCATGTAGATTTAGTTCATTTGAAAAGTTAATTATTAGTACTGGATATGTATTTCGATTTATCAACAATTTGTTAAAAACAATTAAAAAGCTACCATTAAACAAACAAGTTACTTTGATAGATGAGTACAAATTTGCACTCAATGAATGGATTAGAGATGAGCAATGAATGGATTAAAGAATTTTACAAAATGACAAAAGTTTTGATAAACTGAAAAACTTTTTAAAGTTTTTTGATGGCGAAGACAAACTAATACGATTACAAGGAAGATTTGAAAATGCTAGTTTAAACTTTGCAGAAAACATCCTTTACTATTACGTGGAAAAGAAAGTTGGTTTACAATATTACTGATTCGCAACTGTCATGAACAAGTTTTGCATCGTGAAATCGAATCGATATTGAATAAAGTACGATCTCAATTCTGGATAATAAAAGGACGATCAACGATAAAAAGTATTATTAGACAATGTGTAACATGCAAGAAATTCCAAGGAAGAACATTGTTACCACCTAGCATCCTAGATTTACCTGATTTTCGAGTTAATAATTTATATTCCTTTCAAGCAACTGGTTTAGATGATGCAGGAAATTTATTTGTAAAAACAGTTAATAAAGATGCTGCCTGTAAGGTCTATGTTTTACTATTGACTTGCGCGTCTAGTCGAGCAATCCATCTTGAACTGACACCTGACATGAAAATTCCCGCCTTCATAAGAGCTTTTAAGCGTTTTGCAGCACGAAGAGGTTTTCCTGATCTTATTATCTCCGATAATTTTAATACCTTTATATCTAAGGAAGTTAAAAATTTTATGATGAAAAAAGATATGCAACAGAAATTTATTTTATCAGCTTCCCCCTGGTGGGGCGGTTTCTACGAACGTTTAGTTAGATCTGTTAAAATTACAATGAAGAAAACAATTGGTAAGTCTCATTTATCTTACGAAGAACTAGAAACGATGTTATGTGAAATCAAATCTGTGATAAACAGTCGTCCATTATTTTACATGAGCGAGGATGACACTGAAGAAGCATTAACACCATACCATTTAATGTATGGACAAAATATTGTTAATAAAATGAATGGAATTAGTATACTACCTAATGATATTTCGAAATTGAGCTATATTTATAAAAACAACTATGTTTTACTTTTGGAGAAGGTTTGCAACTTCTTATCTTAATGAACTTAAACAACACCATTTATACGTAAAAAGTAAAACTTCATGCAACAAACAGCTAGCATTAAACAATGTAGTTCTTATACGAGATGATATCAAGATCCCTAGAAGTCAATAGCGTATGGGAAAAGTTTTGGAACTTATTAGAGGAGCTGATGGAAAAGTACGAGGTGCGCGTTTACAAGTTTTATCCAAAGAAGTAATTAGAACAACATGTTTCCGACCTAATCAAAAATTAATATCTTTTGAAATTACCAACAAATCTAGAGTTGAAAATTTCCCTGAAATTTTGAAGTCGGGAAAATTTCCAGAAATTTTGGAAATTTTCAAATACTTGTTAAAAAAAAAATTTCAGGGCTTCTCTGATTATTTTTTTTTGTTTACCATAATTTTACTGTTTTATAATATATTTTATATAAATAAACTATTTAATTTTTATTTATTTAATTATATAAATTTATTTATATAAATAAACTATAAATAAACAAAAATATAAAAAATATAAAATATAAATAAAAATATAAATAAAAATATAAATAAACAAAAATATAAAAAAAAATAAACTATAAATAAAAAGGTTTATATAAATAAACTAATAAATTTCAGAAATAAATACCTAGGTATTCACTAATAATATTAGTAAGTAGTTCTAAAGTAAATCTAATGGTAATAATGGTAAAGATAATAATAACAACAACAACAATTATTATAACAATGGTGATGATGATGATGATGATGATGATGATGATGATGATGATGATGATGATGATGATGATGATGATGATGATGATGATGATGATGATGATGATGATGATGATGATGATGATGATGATGATTATAAAAATATGATTATAAATTAAAATACTAACAGCTTTTTTAAATAAAATAGATAAGTAAATAACTTATTTACTTATTTATTTTATACAATATTATGAATTGGTAAAAGTGCAATATTATTAATTTTTTGGTGTATAACTTTAAGTTGTATTAAAACTTTATAATATTATAGATGCATAATTTTATAGTATCTGAAATGATTGCTACACAAACATTCCTTTTTGACATTTTTTAATGATTTATATATAGCTGTCAACCTAAACCAAAGAATAGGTGATACAAGAGAAACAGCAAATAACTTGCCATTATATATGTTATATAATTAAATAAGTTATTTACTCTTTTTGAAATAATAACAATAAAAACATTACAAAAATACTTTATAGGTATATTAGTACTATAGCTATAATGATAATAATAAATTAGTGTTGAATATAAATTATTTAATAGATTTGTAGTCGGTATGAACTGCTTTTCTAAACTAAGTATACATTTTAAATTATTCTCATTTATTTTTGTACTGTAAAAATTTTTTTAGCAACAATTATGCCTAGAGAATTAGATCAAGTCTGGAATGGTCACTTTAAAAAAAAAATATGTCAATATGGGAAAACAGCATTTATTTGCACATATTGCAATGCAAAATTTTAGATTGTACTAAATCTCCAAAAGCTGTAAAAAAAAGTTTGCAACAGATGTTATGAAACAAAGTTTTGCTCCTAAAAAGTTTTTGCTCCTTTGTTCTGATGACAGATGGTTGGTCTTGTATAAGTAATGATTCACATATACAGATTATGTTAGCTACTCCAACTCCAATATACATCAGAAGTATTCATCCAAAAGAAAACTCCCACACTGGACAATACATATTCAATCAAATTGTTGAGATTATTGAAGATAAAAATATTATATCAAACAAAAAACAAATAAAAGCTTTTTGCACTAACAATGCAGCTAACATGGTAGCAGTTTGGAAATTAATAGAAAATAAATATGATTGGATGTCAGCATATGGCTGTTTTTCTCGTGGCCTAAATTTATTAGCTTGTGATCTTGCAAATAAGAACAAAATAATTTCGGAAACACTGAAGCAAAATAAACAGCTAGTTAAGTTTTTTAAAAGTTAGCACAGTCTAAAAAGTATTGTTGAGCGTTGTAGCCTACACTCCTTGAATAAAAGTTTTATTTTAATTCTTCCTGTAGTAACAAGATGGTCATCACAATTTTATATGTTACAACGCAATATTTTACTCCGTGATTCATTGCGACTGGCAGTAACTGATGAAAAAGCACAAAAGTATCTTGACAAACATAATAATAAAAAAGGAATTGACTTAAAGGAATTAGTATTGAATGAAACCTTTTGGAAAAAGACGGATTTAATTTTCAAACTTCTGAAACCTATATCAGAAGCCATTTTGGAATCAGAGAGTGATGCAGCGTCAGTATCTATTGTTCCACAAGTCTTTTTTTATGTAATAACTGAGATACCTGATGTGTTGCAAAACTCAACACTTTTGACTTTACATCAAAAAGAGGATATCATTACTTGCATTAAAAAGCGTGAAGACTTTGTTGTAAGACCGATACACTTTGCAGCAAATTTACTTGATCCAAGGTTTGTTGGTCAAAAGTTAAATCATTCAGAAATGCTTTTAGCTGAGCAGCATGTATTCAGAACAGCTGAAAGTGAAACACTAGCCGCTGATATAATATTGGATGAATTAATGAGTTTCAAAGCTCGTAGTGGAATATTTAGCCAGGATAATCGCAGCTATATTTGGAAACTTAATGAAGATTGTAATCCAGTCACATGGTGGAAAGCATATGCACCAACAATATTATTGAATAGAATTGCATTAATATTATTGTTTTGTAACTGCAGCATTGCATCTGTTGAGCGTGCAAACAAAGAGTTTTCATTGCAAAAATCTAAAGTAAGAAATCGCCTAACCGATACAAGAGCATCAAAGCTTTTATTTATTGCTTATAATTTGAAAATGCAGAATAAATTGGCTAAACGTAATTCTAAAAAGATAAAACATTCATGTTTAAAAACAAAAAACATTGATAAAAAAAGCCAAAAAAAATCACAGCTGCTTATCAATCGATAATGATGATGATGATGATTATGATGATAACGAATACGATAGTGAGTATTTAAGTGAAGATAGTATTGACTTTCACATACCATGAAAATGTCTAAGCATTAACGTTTGCAAAAACATGCTATTTTTTTATAATAGTCTAGTTGGGGAGTTTAAATAAAATATATATATAAAATTATTTTTTTATTTTTATTTTATTAGTTAAAAACCCACTATACAAGTAAGCTAAATTAAAGTTTAGTTCAAGATAAATGAAAAATCTTAAAGTTTTTAATTTAATTTCAGGATAAATGAAAAATCTTAAAGTTTTTTTTTTTATCAAGATTTTCATTCAAACATGATCGTCTTGGAATTTTTTTTTTCAAGAATGTCCTTGAAGATTGTTTTTTTGTTCCTTTGAGTTCCAGAACTCAACTACTCATTTTAGAGTTTGAAGATCCGTTTCAGGAATTACATCTATTAAGTCAATGATTTTTTTTTTTACTTTGCATTATTTTCTCTAGATTTAGTTCATGACTATTGCACAAACCTTTGACACTACCTAAAAAACGGTTCTGAAGCTGTTTTGTTTTTCAGCTGCTACTTTACAATATTAAATGTCATTTTATTGCTCTTCAGATGAATAAATAAGTTTAGCTTGTTTTGTTGTGTAATTATTGATACATACTCAATAAAAAATAAAGGATTAATAAAATTTATGCAATGTTTTAAAACGTTAAGGAGTGACTTCAGTGCGTTTCTTCCAACTATATCAAGCTTTTGCATTAATATTTTTTTATGTTCACTAAGCTTAGACCATAAGGTAGTGGAACAACCAAAGTTTTATATAACTGGACAAAGGAATTTGGGTTAACAAAACGGATTCTAGATTAAATTAAAGTTTGGATTACTGCCCGGATTTTAGGAAAGGTGTCCCATATAAAGCCTAGATGACTTAATTTATCGTGAAGTTTTGTTCGATATTGTGCGGTTTTTAATTTGCTTTTTTCCGGTAAGTATGAACTCGGTTTTGTCAGCATTAAATTTTATGCAGTTTTTGTGTATATATTACAGGTATTAATAAGCTTTTGTAAAAAAATTCCAACCCTATTAAATACTTAAAGAAAGATGTATATATATAAAAAAAGATGTTGTGCCTATAGAGGTAGCATGTTTTTAATAAATTTCTTTTTTTATTAGATTTTAAACGACTTAGAAATTTTAAATAAACTTAAAATTTAAATTTTCTCCGAAACGTCTTGTGGTTTTTAGTTGTTATGTATTTAAGCAAAAAAAAAATGACAGTTATCTCATTTTTGAGAGATTTGATGCTTAATTCTTTGCAATTTCTTTAATACATAGTAGTAAATTAAAAATTAAAAAAAAAAAAAGAAATTCAAAATTTCCAAATATTTTAAGCAAATTTTCCCGCAAAATTTCCGGAAAATTTCCAGAAAATTTCCGGAAATTTTCCGGAAATTTTCAACCCTAAACAAATCAAACAAAATGAATAAAGATAAAAATAGAAGATCATCTGAAAATGAACTAGGTGTGATTGCTACTGAAAAAACGTGCAGGTCAGTTTGTAAGCGGCCGATCAGACAGGCAGCGAGCGCAGGCGAAAATTTGCGGCGTTTAAAAGAGTTATATTATTACTTGACCAAGTCAACATAGGGGTGTATGTTAAAAGTGTTTTATTATATAAAGCTTTTGTTGTTTATTACCGGTTTTATCTGGTTTTTCTTGATTATACAATTTTGAATTGTAAAAGTTTTTGTTACGGATATTACTTAGTTAACACGAGGTTACAAGAAAGAGAATAACTTTGCTAAAATCCTTCTCAATTAATGTCTAAAATAAAGTTTTTTTACACCTATTATTATAACGTGAGTGGCGTCAATTATTTAGTTCATAATACATAGTTCATAAGAATATAACAGTTTTCTCTGTTTTAAGAAAGTTTTAGTACGAGTTGTAATGGCTTACTCTCGGATAGTACTCTATGAAAGAAAGTAGTCATCGAGATACTTTGGCTTTTTAATAATACGTCACAGCCACACACAACCAAATATATCTTAACGGTATATTTGGTTGTATGTCAGGAGTAGTAACCTTTTGTTTAGATGGTTGGTTAGGTATTGTTGTAGTTGAATGGTCATAAGAGGTGCTATTGGATTATTGGATTCCCAAACAAATGCTGTAGGTTTGAAGATACTTTGTTGGTGTTATTTAATTCATTTTGATTTCTATTTCAAGAATTATGGATGTTGTTACTGAAGACATTTTCGTCATTATTCGAGCCATCGGACTGTTGTTGGACTGGTGCGATTAATGGATTTACAACTTGTAGTGGGCTTGTTGTAGTGAGACCTTTTGTTGAAACCGTATCAATATTTCCATTTTGTTTGTTTTACGTGTGCAAAGTGGGACGATAGTGTTTCTAATTGTTGAAGTCTGTCACTTCGTGGATCTTCTTTTAATTGTATCTGACGTCTGTATAAAGTTGGGGAATCCTGCTCTGTTAAGAAGTTTGGTAGAACCGTATCTATTATTATGAACGCTGAAAGTTTATCATCTTTTGTTGAGGTGTTTCTTTAGTAATACTACACAGAAATCCTCTTATAGGAGCCACTTGCAACCCTACCCCCTATCTATCTTTTCACAGACTCAATGTTTTCAGGGCCAGACTAACAGCTTTAAGTATTGTTCCATTCATTCGTTCACATTGAGTGTGCCCTTGTGTGTGATATGGAGTAGTTCGAGTTCTGATGACACCGTTTCTTTCTAGGAATACTTTAAATTTTATACTTTTAAACTGTGTTCACCGATCTGTATGCATAGATAATGGTGCACCAAATATTGAAAAAGACTGAGAAGGTATCGTTTCACAGTAGGGTGTTCAGAAAAATTTTTTTGTTTGAAAATACGAGCTCCCTTGTAATTTTTCCGTTTGACTTGATAAGATATAATTATTATTCAAATTTCAGGTCAATACCTGCTGATTTGACATTGCCACCAGCCTTTTAAAGTTATCATGAATTATTAAAGTTTAATCTTATTCATGAATTTGGGATGCTAATGCAGAACATTAGTTAATACTTTTAATTGATTACAACTATAAATCTAAACATAAAAGTTGCTACTAGAACACAATGATATAAATAATTGATTTAGACCTTTTATGCAAAATAAAAAATAAATGCTTGAGATTCAAGTAATTACTAGTTTATGAAATGAGTAACGAAACAAAATTATAGAATACTTTAATTTCCTTATTATTTGTATATAACTAACCAATTGGAAACAATGTTACAGATATTAAATTAAAATGTTTCTATATTAGATTCAAATTCACTAAAACATATTTAGACTTTGAAAAGCGAGATAAAATTTACAAAAGAAAAATTATTATAAAATAAAAACTGTATAAATTGTAAATGTATTTCCATTATATAAGAAAATGTTGGTAACTGATGTTCCAATAAGTCCAACAGAGTTATATTCATGCATTTACATAAATATTTATTAAAAAGAGTTCTACTTTTTCATCAAACTTTGGTATGTTTCTTCTATGCTCTTTCACTACTTAGAAAAGGCACTGCTTTTGATTTTCATCCCGTGTTAGACTTTGATTAAAGTCAGTAACTAGTTTAACTGACCTTTCCGCTAAATCTTTGACAACTTTAAGGTCCTTTAATATCCCAGATATGTAGTTAAATTCATAGTTTTTTGACGATTCATCGGGGTATTGTGAAAGCCACTTAGTATGTACTTTCAAAAGATCAAAAAGAAGCCTGGATTTTTTTCAAATTAGAGAGCTCCCTTTCACGTTTTGATTCATCTGTCGCATTATTGGCACTCTAGTTTCCATATTTTCATCGTTTATTTTTTTTATAATTGTTGAAGCAATTTTCTTATTTTCATGGGTAGACACAGATCCTGAAAAGAGGGCAAAGGGTGCAACTTCTTCACTTAGGTACCATAGGTGTTTTATTTAAGCTATCAAAGCTGCTTCTGCTAATCCTGGATCATTTTTTTTAAACATTTTCATGTTCTTCCAAAACTGTAGGTTGTTGATAGAAGCATCTATGGCTTTTGAAGATGTTAACCAAACTTTTACATAGAGTAAGCTTGTAAATAGGCAAAAGTGATGCAGTTTCTGAATAATATTTTTATCATAACATAAGTACTCAATGAATGCATACATTTTAGCTGCATATAGAATGTTTGCCATCCATTAAGCGTGATGAAAAGCTCCTGGCTTAAGTCATTGTTCTCCCTTTTTCACATTTTTCTCACCAAAGAGTAACAACGTGAAATAAATGCATTCCCTATAATCATATCTTATATTTGTATGTCCTTGGAGGGACAGTTTAAAAAATTATTCATATCTTCTTTTGTAGATTTCAACGAGCGTTCATTTACGTCCAGCAATTTAAAATTGTCATCCTTTTAAGGGATTTTGTCCCAAGAGTTCTTTAATTTTAGAAGTTCTATATTGGTCGGGCCTGTTGAGGGACAAACAAGTGTTTCCATACGGACGACAAAATAATCTCAAAGTTACGGTGGCGACATGGTAAATAAAACAGCTTAGAACTCAACTTTTTTTCTAGAATGACAAAAGCTCCATTTTTGCATCCTGAGTTGGAAGCTGTGGTATCAAATACCATACCGATGATAGATTTGTTTAACTCCCAGTCTTTATCGAGATCAAAGCTTGTCTCTGCTTGTACCAATCCTGTCCCATTCATGATTTTTGAAATGCCCAGCAACTTTCCTTTTACATAATTTAGTGTACCTGCAACTAAAACCGCCAATCGTTCCTTTTCCCCTTCAATAATTTTTTCATCCAAATTCGAGGATTACCTCTTACTTCTGATCTTTCTTAGAAACCACATATCAAATTGTCATTACAAAGGTAATCTCTTTTTTATGCTTTAAATATCTTAACCTGGATTCTATTTTTTAATTCTAAAAATCTCTATTCTGTCTCTAATCTCTATAAATCTCTTATTTTTGTATAGAATACTGTTGTTATATCTGTTGAGGATCTTCAAATGATACCTTTTAATGATGCTTACAAACAGTACAATAGTAGTTGCTCTAAAGAGTTAGTATCTCTGAGTAAAGTCAAAAGTACAGCTAATAAAATATAAACCATGTAATAGATAGTACAGCTATCAAAATACAAATCATGGAGTAGATAATGCAGCTATTAAAAATACAAATCATATAATAGAAGTCAAAAGTACAACTATTAAAAATACAAATAATATAATAGAAGTCAAAAGTACAACTTTTAAAAATACAAATCGTAATAGCATTCAAAAGTACAGCTAATAAAGTAAAGATATCAAAAGAGCAAATTATACAATAGAAGTCAAAAACACAACTCGATTTATATATCTGATATCTATTATATCGCTATTAAAAGATATAATTTGTCGTTATTTTTTACATTGCGGTATCTAACATTTTAAAAGAACAAATCTGCAATAAAAGTCAAAAGTACAGTGCGAGTTCTAATTATTGCATCTTTTTTATATGACTTATCGCTGTTTTAAACATAGTCATCTATTTTGTATCGCTCATTATAAATTCTATTTCGGGAATAAAAAATCGGTTTTAGAAGTCAAAAGTACACAAACTATATTGCGGCAACCGTTTATAATTTGAAAACGAGGCGTACTTTTGACTTCTATTATATATTGCTAACCGTAAACAAGAAGGCCGTGGTTCGAATCTAACCACCAGTGACTTTTTGTTTTAAGTTTTAAACATTTTTAAAATACTTGTGAAGTTTCATAAAAATTATATTCAAACACATCTAACAATGTTATACATTTTAACAAACGAAAAGATTTTTAAAAAAGCTAAAAATTTTAAAAACATCATAAAACGGGGGAATATTTATTGCGTTTGTGTCATGGTTGAGATACTTAAGTTATTTTAGTTTTACATTTCAAGTTTTTTTACAACTAAGTTGAGTTTGTGCAAGAAAAATGAGTATTCAACATGTTTATATATAGAATATAAAATCTATAGAACTGTAAAGTTGTTTTGTTTTGCATATTAATTAACAAAAATAAAGCAAGCTGATGATTTAAACTTGCCACATGGCAACCTTAACTTTTTCAAAACAGCACGGGGGTTTAAAAAGTATGTTTTTTATGAAAGCATAATTAAAAATTCTAATTTTATTTTTTAAAATAATTAAAAGTTAAGATTATTTAAAACAATAAGGAAATTTAGAGTTTTACAGTTATTTTACCACTCCCCCGTCAAACATTCAAAACCGAGTGCGCAACAACGACATAATTTAGATAACCATCAAAGTAGTATTATACTCTTTTATTTTTCAGCTTTATATACTTTTTAGCTGATTCTTTATCTAAACGTTAAAATAAGGGATCGTCCATAAATTACGCAACGCTAAATTTCACAATTGAAGAAAACAAAAATGATCAAAATATTTCCTCGCCAAGTCGTATGTTAGATAAAACATCTATATAGCTCATTAAGTTTAATGAAAATCGTCATCCTAAAGAACTGAAGATCTCTTCTACTTTTTTAAAAATAAGTTTAGCGTTGCGCAATTTGTGGGCGATTTCTTAGCCTTTTTATAGTCTATAGTTTATAATGCTCTAAGATCTGCTTTACTGTTATAAATACAGAAAGAATCAAAAAATTTTAAAATTTATAAGGGGATGTCTGAAATCCCCCAAAATGACACTGATGAAAGCCCAGTAAGCACGGACGTAAAAAAAACGTCTTTTAAACGTCTTATACACGTTTTGGACGTCTTTTGAACGTTTAAAAGACGCCTTTTTTTGGTCCGGTGCCCACTGGGAGAGCACTAAACCACTGAGCTATCAATGATATGCGTTTAGGAGAAAAACAAACCTAATTATAAATTTCTTATAAGCTCTAGGTATACTGAAAGGGTGCGCATGTTAACTTTTTTTCTCTTAAAGCAGTTTTTTTTAATGAATTATTTTTCTTAAAAATATTTAAGTAAACAAATAAAAGGTATAAGTATGACTGTTGTGGAATAGATAAGTATTGAAATGGTAGACTTGGTAAAGACCTATATAGTTTATGGGTCCGGTAAGCTAGGATATATATGAGAAAAAGTATAGAAAAGTTCAATGTGAATAGACTTCGAAGGCCCGTATTTTTACGGGGCAGATCAGCTAGTAAATATTATTTGCGTTTTAATCAAAATTTATGTTTTTCCAATGCAGCAATGATAGTTGATCTTTAAATAATTTAATATTAGTCTCATTATAAATGCCTTTTCTTAATGCTTTTTTGGTATTCATGCTTCTTTCTGGATTTGTTTTATAAAGCTTCAGGAATAGAGGAAAATGATCTGATATATCAGTTTTTATGATACTTATTTGTATATTATTACTGAAAATATCAGTAGTTATAATATTATCTATAAGAAATGCTGTGTTTATTGTTACTCTTGGGTTGATTTATTAGAGTAACTGACCCTGTTTCAAAAATCTTAATTTTATGGTCATCCTTATAGAGAAAACAGTTCATGTTCAATTCTATATAGTTTTCTTTTATTAAAGTTTTCTTTTCTTTTCATTATAGTTTTTATTATATAGTTTTCTTTTTTATTATTGGTTTCTTTTTTAATGATTTGTTGCAAGAACGTGTTCAGGTTTTCGCTTACGTCGTCAGGTGGCCGATAACAACAGCTTAGTAAAATGTTTTTAGTTTGATTGTGAGTAATTTAATAGTTACTATCTTTGTCGCAATCAGAAACCCACAAATCATTCCTAAAACAATACTCAAAATTTTCGTGAACATAGATTAATATTCCACGGCCGCGCTTATTTGTTTTTCTTTCCACAGAAATTATTTTAAAATGAGGAATATAAAAATTACTATTTATTTCATCTATTGTGATCCACGTTTTAGTTAAACAAATTCAGGGGCGCACAGAGGGTTAGGGTTCCGGATTGGTTACCCCCGGGCATCACGTTTATGGTTCATCATCAGATGACAAAAAAAAATTATTAGTATGCCAAATAAAAAATTGAAAACATCCAATAAAGAAATTAAAAATGTTTACTTTGTTATTATATTTCGATTCTTGATTTTGTTTCGATTCAATCTGATTATATTTCGATTACTGATTCCTAGGACCGTTTTTACGGTAGATTACTCTCTATTTAAAGACCACGTTATTTTTCTATACCTTCAGAAATCAATATTTACGTTCTATGCCCTCTGAATAGCTCTTCAAACCATGCAAGAAAACTACAAACTACATGTAACGTCATCGTGAACAATAGGAATAAGAATAGTAAAAACATTTTTTTAACTTTTTTAACTTTTTTAACTTTTATATATATATATATATATATATATATATATATATATGTATATATATATATATATATATGTATATATATATATATATATATATATATATATATATATATATATATATATATATATATATGATATATATATATATATATATATATATATATATATATATATATATATATATATATATATATATATATATATATATATATATATACACACACACAGATATATATATATCTGCGTGTGTGTATATATATATTAAATATATACACACACAGATGTGTGTATATAGATACGCATACTAAAATACAAACAACATTCAAGCCTTACAACTACAACTTAAATTTATTATTATATTATATATTAAATGACTAAATACTTTACTAACTAAAAATGCATCAAATTTTCATTTCTGAAAGTTATTCTGATACAGCACTTCAATTTTGAGAAAAGTATAAAATATAAATCTGATTCTATAGAATCAGATTTATATTCCAGAATGATTTAACATGTTAAATCATTCTGGATTTATACTATAGAATCAAGTGATGCTCTATAGTGTGGATTAAAAATAAAAATGGCAATATCCAACAAACAAATAAAAAGTAAAAGCCTAAAGTTATTGCTTTAAAGGTATTGTTTCTTTTGTCTATTGTTGTTAACAACAATAGACTGTAGTTTTTAAACATAAATAGGCAATTAAGAAAGCAATAGATTGTAGTTTTTAAACATAAATAGGCAATTAAGAAAGCAAGAGTACCATTAACAATTCCTTTTTTATATATTGAAAAAACTTATAGTTTTTATTATGCCTGCCTATTTTAATTAAATCTAACAAAAATTCTTTATTTGTATAAATATTTTAAGTCTTTAATTGTTTTTTTACTGTTTTTTTTTTTAATATTTTATATAGGATAACCGATATAAAAAACGGGTAAAAAAAACTATTAGTCGAAAGCTGTCGTCATCAAATGTTGATGGATATATGACTAACATGTCAAAAATCGGAGAGGAAGTTGTTGCAACCGGAGAGAAATTGCCGCTGTTCTTAGCCGTTCTATTACGAGCTATAGCCTATTCTATAAAGGTATTGCTGAAACATTAAACCGCATTGCAACTTCAGCGGAGAGTTTGGCCAGCTCCGCTAAAAGAATTGCTTGTTCACTGGAAACGATTGCTGTGGTTGACTCAGAAAACAAATAAACTTATGATACATTAATGCATTTATGAGCATTAGGATCATACTCTAATGTCTGTTTTAGCATAGAGTTAGAATAAATAAAGGCATCATGACACGATCCCGGATACTTGACTACAGCATCTCTAAACGTTCCATCGTAGTCTACAACCACTTGACAGTTTAAAGCAGGATATCCTTTTCTAAAAAATAGAAGTAAAAAATATGGATGAATGTCCAGAAAGTCCTACAAGTCTTGAGATCAGTTAATAAAAAGTTTTTTGGTATAAACCTACAGCAATACAATAAAAAAAAAAGAAATCAAACAAAAATGATTTTTTTAAAATGAATTTACTTGCAAATAAATGCTGGCTCGTCAGCCCCAGACACTCCTTTGGTTTGTATCATTGTGCCATCTATTATTCCAAAAAGACCTTTAACTCCAGATAATTGAAAGTACTTTTTTTTGGTTTCATCCATCTCCTCTTGATTATCATACCATTTTACCAGGTGAAAATAATGCTGAATGAAAAACTTGAAAAATTGGTAAATTATGCGACTGCAGCTTGACTGACTTACATTAGAAGTGTTACCTATAATCACCATAAAGTAAACCATTATAAAAAGAAAGCTTTTACAGAAGTAAACTTTAACTTTATATGCACCACCATTAACATTTATTTATTAAAGTACTAAAGTAATGACAATAAAAAATCATAAGAGTTAATATTTTTTTGGTATTACTAATATTATATGCATTGACAAATAACTCTTACCAACATCACTTTTGAAACACTCAGTTGATAAAATTCTCAAAGAAATCAACACCTTTGCTTCTAGAGAAATCGGGTTACTTCTTAATGTAATGGGTGATAAATTTTTGCGAAGAGTGTTGACAATTTCTTATATATTAGTTTTTGGCAAACGAAATTTTTTTAGACATTCAACATCTGAGTAATCAGTTAAAGAAACACGCTGAGCTTCACGCCATATTTGATCATCACCTTGTTGGGCTAGATTGATTGGAATATCCATTTTCACTAAAATTAAATAGCACTGTTAAAAGTTTTTTTATTTTATTCACGAAGATTACGCATTTCAAAGTTTTGAACTTACGCCAAACTTACGCAAAAAATCTTTGGTGAATCTGCTCCCTGGCTCTTGGTGTTCGATTGCTTAAACCTCTTTTGGAATATGTGACATCAGTTCGTAAAAATTTTCTCGACATTCAAGAAAGTGCTAAAAGGTTCTTAAGCAATATTCCTAATCAGTACAAGCATGAAAATAAAAGAAAGAAGATGTGCAAATTAGGGTTTAGTGAAAGTAGCGAGAATGAAGTGGTACTTAGTGGCAGTGAAAAATTTAAAATCAAGTTTTTTTTCCCAATCATAGACAAGTTGAAAATGTGCTTAAAAGAAAGACTTTTTGATTACTAGTCTGCTTTGAGAAAGTTTGGTTTTCTAACTAGTTTTCAAATCATGACCGTTCCTGTCATTGTTGCTGCTGCTAAATCTTTGTGCACTATTTATTCTTCAGACTTAGATACGCAATTCCCTGATGAAATTATCCAGTTTTCTAAGTTCATGGCAAATGAGAAGAATATATCAGCACTTGAATGTTTACAAGAAATTCGTAAGAATAAGTTAGAATCAGTTTTTCCGAATGTTGACATTGCATATCGGATTTTTCTTACTCTTTCCATTACTAATTGTAGTGCAGAGACAGCATTTTCGAAAAATGGCAATAGTTAAGAATGATCTCCGTTCCTCAATGCTAAATGATCGTTTAAATGCTCTTTGTTTAATGACAATTGAAAGAACACTGTTAAAAAATATAAATTTTCAAGATATCGTATTCGATATTGCATATGTGAAAGCAAGAAAAGTTTTTGTTTAAATAAAAAAGTAATCTTATGTTTTTTGCATTCATTTTTAAATACACTTTTTTAGGAATGGGCCTAAAATATTTTTTGGCTTCCAGCCCTCAAGACCATTACTCCGGCCTTGTTTCTATCTGAACAAACTCATTATTCTCAAATTCAAGAACTAAAAAAACTGCGTACAAAATTTTTTCTCTTCTTTAAATACTTATCACATTTATTTCCATTAAACCCACGAAATATCTTTAATTAAACCCTCTTCCATTAAACCCACGAAATTTCTTCAAATGAACAAATAATTTCCATTGGTCTAACGTTTTGATCACGTGGCACGCTTGAAGTTTCTAGCGCTTTGGACGCGCTAAGATCGCACTTCTCCTTGATCTTGCAGAATCACATTTTCCAATGACAGGAATCTTCGGAAAGTTTAAGAGGTAATCGTCGTTCTCGATCGCTTTGACGTAAGGATGCCACATTGTTGTGGATGTCGAATACTACCTGTTTCTGTATCTGACTCCACATTCCAACAGTTTTTTAAAATACGTCTTTGTTGTTTCTTACTTTACTATCGTCAACTTCAATTTCCACTTCTACCATTCTCTCCGTTTGGGTGTTTTCATTATTGATTTTTTATTATACACGGCAATTCAAGCAATATTTATTGTGCTTTCGAGTTTCAACATTCTCATCCACCGACTGGATACTCTCCTTAGCAAATCAGTTACATTGTCTTTCGATGAAATTAATTTTTACGTCGACCTCCTAATTATAATCGTCAACTAACTCCCGAAACACGTTTGCTCTTCGTCGTATCAGCATTTCACTCGACGCATTTGACTTGGATTTCCCAATTAAAGAAATAGAAATCTACAGAATCTGTGAGCAATTGCAGTTTGTTGAGATTTAACAAGAGCTTCCGAGGTTCAGGAACTGACGTCAACCCAAACTCTACTATCTTTGCCGCGCACTTCCCATTCTCCACGAGCAGTGTTACTTGTTTCAATCTTCTTCAGCATCTCCTCCAAACACACGTCGTACTCCTTCATTGTGGATCTCGTCATTCCATCCAGTTGTCAAAAAAACCACTTTTCGTTCCACAAGACCGCAGGCAACACGCAACCAACCGCACACCGGTATGTGGCTCACCAAATGTCTACAAATAGAAAACATCGTCCTTCTTGATATTTTCTCAGGAATGTTATTTATCTCCTCATATTGATTTCCTCTTAACCACATCAGTTTCTCACCAACCCTCTTCATCAATTTTCTCACCATCTTTACTTTTTAGACCGTACTTGAAAAAGTGCTTCCAAATGTCGTCCACGTATGTTGATATCCTTTTCTTCACCTTCTCGTCTTGTTCAACAATGGCATTCATCACAAACTTCATAATCATTGGTGCCACATCAAGTCCGAAACCAAGCCTTGTCAGACAGCACCCTTTATTCTGAAACATCACCGTTTGATACAGTCAAAATAATTTATCTGCTTTCAGCTGGAGATATGCTTCACGCAGGTCGATGATTGCAATTCTGTTGCCCGTTTGTCTCCACTGTCTCAATTTCTCAGCAGAGACGTCTAAATCTCTTGTGAATGTTTCAATGAACTTATTAGTTTATCTCCAATCTAATACCGGTCGGACTTTACTTTTGTTTTGTTGTACCACTGCCATCAGTGAAAGCTGACCCTTTACCGGCCCCATCGTACGTTCATTATACTTCAATAACCACCCTTGTCTTATCCATTCTTGTAACTCATTCTCGCACTCTTGCTTAACGTCTGCTGGAACTGCGTACTTATGTACCGCATTTGGAGGTAGGTTGGGATTTTTTCTACCTCACCATACTCATTTCAATTTCCACTTCATTCCATCAAAACTTGCTTCATGGTCCTGTTTCTTAATTTCAAAGTGTGATTCACGATCAACTTTTGCTGCCGCACACACAGTGCCAAAACGCGCATCCCCCGACAAAAGGATTGTGATTCCTCCTAGTAATCGTATCGAATTCATTCCAAGCATCACGTCTGTTCCCATGGGTCGAAAACTTGAAACCAGAACTTGTTCTTGAGCACGAACTCCATTGATTTCAAGGACAACGGTTGCTGATCCTACACATTATTGAAGTTGAAGAACGCCAAACGTTGTCATCTTTAAGTTATTCGACAACTCAACCCGTTTCTCAGCCACTATTTTTTGAAATTTGTCCTTGAACATCCGGTATCCAGAATATCTTTCACGGTTCTGCCATCAAATCTTGTTCTAGTCCTTTAATTCCTTGCTCTAATCTTTTATTTTAATTTAATTGAAAGCTCAATATATAGGAGCTAAATGTTTTTAACTTTCTTTGTTTTATGCATAAATGTAAAAACAACTTATCGCCCGTTTCTTTCCGCGGCTTGTATTTGCAAAGAGTTATAAATAAATATATTTTAAGGAATGAAAATTTAATTAGACAACCATTTTCTCAAACTAATTTCGGAAGTTTTTTTATTTCATTTTGAGGACTATTTTTATGGAATAATATAATTTTAAATACAAAAGACATTTATAAAGAACCTAAGTTCGAAGTTCGAACCTAAGTTTTATTCTTTTTAAAAAAATCTTAAAAATCTCATTTTTTCCACTGAAAATATATTATATACTTTTAATAATAAAATATATTTATATACTTTTAAAACTTAGACGAATCTCAAATTTTATGTGTGTGAATAAATTTGTTTTTTTATTTTGTTTTCGTGAAGCGAAGCTTATTAAAGTGAAGCTTATTGTAATATGTTACATAAAGTTTATATAAATACGTATTTACATAAGACTTTATTTTACTTGCATGCACTGTAATGCATTTATTATTGTACTGTAACGCAATGTAATTTATTTATTTCAGCGGTTCTTGGTGACAAGACCTAAGGGTCTTCTTCGAGTGTCCGCGTTCTTTGTTTTGTTTATTAAATATTGTTAAAGTTTTACTCTTTTTAATGAATTTTTTACATGTACTTTTATTTTTTGTATATATTTGAATAAATATTGTAATAAAAAACAAAACAAAAAAAAAATCCAACAACAACAAGTGTGCTCACTCCATGGTTTCTTGAGAGCGAGTTAGCGCACAATGCTCGCTCTCCTGACAGTTTCCCCGCAGCTTGACACAATTTATCGCCATGTGTCCCAGTTCATTGCAATTGAAACATCGGATATTCTTCCTGGGTGCTGTACAGCTCTGCGATGTGATTCGATTCCCGACAGTTATGGCACACAACAGATTTGGGTGACTTTGAACTTTTGATTCTTTTAAAAGTGGTGGCAGCAGATATTCTTTTCCGTTGCATCAACCCGACTCAAGCAGCTCTTACTTTTTGCAGCATTTTATCAATGGTTCTAGGCCCGGTTAGCTTGTAGTTTTTCTACGCAAAATATTACACTTCTATCGATTATATTCGATGCGCTAAGATCAAACAAGCTGATTAAAAAAGGTATTGTTAAAACAGATGTCTCAGGTCACTTTCCTATTTTTTTTTTGTATTAATGCAAATTATAAAGACAAAATTATTTCTTTAAGTTTATTTTTAAATGAGAGGTAACTCCATGCCAGAGAAAAATCAAAATGTTTTAAAACTATTTTATTCCAATAAATGCAATGTTTGTTTTTCCGAAATTAGTTTGATAAAAAGGTTGCTAAACTAAATTGTCATTTCTCATATTGTATTTATTTTTATCTTTCAAGGTATATAAGTTATGGAAAGAAACTGGGGAGGACCTTATTTTACATTTGTACATAAAACAAAGAGTATTAAAAACATTGAGCTGAAATATATTAAAAATTTTAGTTTAGATAAAAGAGGCCTGGCATGAGGAAATCTGTCTTTAAAGTTGATAAGACGAGCAATATGCTTCTGCTGACAATAAAGAGGTTTTAGTTGATTTTTATTGGCATTACACCAAGCAATATTTGCATAGTTTAAATGACAATGGATAAAAAAAATATATAATTGTGTTAAACTTTGTTTATTTAAGGCATTTCTAGCCTTATACATTACTCCTATACTTTTAGCAATTTTCGTACAAAAAGTTAGTGTGGTATTTCCAGCTAAGGTTTTCATCAGCATAAACACCTAGAAAGTTAGTATTTATTTCTCTTTTTATTTGAATTTTGTCTATAAAAAGTAAGGGCAAATTAGGAGGCAGTAGTTTCTTTTTAGAAGTCGGATGAAAGATTGACCATTTTGTTTTATTTACATTTAGTGAAAATTTATTCATTTTGAACCATTCACAAATTTTCTCTAATTCGATGTTCATAGTTTAAAATAATGTTAGAATAAAAAATTGGTAAAAGTTACAAAACTTCTTGGAGTTCTTGTAGACGAAAACTTATTCTGGAAACAACAAATCAATAATGTCTCCATAATATTTTCTTATTGAAAGCAAATAATTTACAAATAAATAGTGAATCTAAAAAATACTATTTTAAAAGTTCCATTTTGAATAAAATTCCAAATTAAAAAACTCGAATAATTTGTAAAGAGGCTGTCCATTAATTACGAGTCAACAAAACAGGGGAAAGTAGGGGTAGGGGGAAGGGGTCTACACTTTTTTGACAATTGTTGACAAGGGGGAGGGGGAGGTCAAGAAAAGTTGACGTCAACACTATTTTTTTGAACATGTTACTTTTTTTATAAATTTAACTATTTAAAATAAAGGAAAATTAGGCAGCGTTTGCAGTCCTGTGTTATGTATTCGCTCAACTTTCAGTATTTTAATTCCTATCCTGTAATTTATATTCCTACTTTTTAAAAACCGTTTTGGGCTCTAAAAAGACCCGACATACAGAACTAAATAACTACACACAAGATGTTTACTCGTTTAGATGTTTACACTATTATTTTTTCAAAGTTAATGTTGCATTCAAAAAAGATTCATGTAAGTACATTGTCTACATTACATTGTTTAAACGTTTATACAAGGGGTGCAACCTGCAGCTCGCAAGCCTCTTGTGGTTTTTTTCGATGTCAAGATAAAGCTCTTTAGATGCATCTTGACATCAATGTTTTATTATCTTGACATGCACAAATATTAGTATAATCAGGGATGAGAAGCCCCAAAAGGGACTTCTCATCCCTGATTATACTAATATTTGTGCATGTCAAAAATAGAGATATAAAACCTCCGGTTTTATATCTCTATTTTTTACTGGTCTCTGGTGTCCAAAAACTCTAAACATGTTGATTGATTTATGATCTGCTAAATAAAAAAAACTCATGAAGTTTAATGACTTGAAACATATTGTTTTTAAGCCCGGAGTCCCAGAGTCCTAGCCGCCATTATACCTAAGGTATAAGGGTTCAAATAGAGATTGTTCCTCTAACTTAAAATTCTTAACTTTTTTACTGATAATAATCCATAAACATTTTTATATTACCAGAGCTCCTGGACACCAAAAACTAGGAAAAAGTAATCTTTTTATGACATTCAAATGCGGAGTCTTCTTCGAGACTCCGCATCCCTAAATATAATACTAAAATAAAGATGTTGGTAGCTCTTTAAAAACTGAAAAACTTTGTATACTATAACTTTTGGCTCTTCCGTCTTACAAGGTTGCCAACCCCTGGTTTATACAATTTGTTAAATGCTTTTTTTTGTTATTCTGGACTGTTAAAAATAATTGGCTTTCACTGTAAATTTGTATTGATCTAATGTTAAAGTTAGGAGAATTTTATTAATTTGGAATATGATTAAAATTTAAGAGTTTTTAAGAGTAATATTTTGTATTTTTAAACTGGAATTAATTTTAAAAGTTAAAAGTTTAATTTTTTTTCTACACATTTTACTTTAGTTCACTTTTTTTTCAGAGCAAGCATTTGTAATTTTAAATGATTATATTCATTTGAAATATGTTCATATGTTAAAATTCGAATACATTTTTCTTTGAACCACTTAATTGTTTTAAATTTTAAACTAGTCAATATAAAACTTTTTTTTTTTCATCTTAAATATATATTTAATTTTGTGGAGGAAGAGGGGGGAGGGGCGGGAGGAAGGGGGGAGGTGAGGGGTTATCAAATGTTGACGTAATTTTATTGAAAGTTTGACAATTTGTTGACAAGGGGGAGGGGGGAGGAAAAAAATACCAAAAAATTGTTGACGTTATTAATGGACAGCCCCAAATGGCTAATTAGTAACTGGCTAATTAGTAATTAGCTTGTAAAAATTAAAAAAAATATTCTAGTACTCGGTGTAGTTAAGGCCATTTATTATTCGAATTATTTTATAATTATTATTACACAAATTATTCGAATTCTTTTATTTGGAATTTTTATGTAGATGACTTTTACATTAAAATTAAGTAATTATAATTACTTAACTCTGCGTCACCACGTTTTTTTCATTTAGTGAAAAAACTGAAAAAAGTGCCTTGCTTTTTTCTTGACTTGATTATCTTCCACCGTCTAAATATAAACATAATTGATTGATAATGTTTGTTACCTTTTTAAATTTTATTTTCACAATTGATGCTAAAATAATACTTGCTTTAAAGTCACAATATTGTTCTATAAATGGAGTTCACATTTTATTACAAGTTTCTTCAATTCTTTCTTACTTAATCTAAAAAAAAAAAAAAATTAATAAATTAAAGGCAATAATAATACAAAGTTTTTTAACTCCTTATTATAAGGCTTATAGTTTGTCAGGTTCGGTATTTTTTTTTTGTTTTATAATAAAACAATAACAAAGGGTAATAAATTCATGAGATTTAACTTCTATACTCTTGCATCAGATTTTCATCAGATTTTACGTCAGTATATTCTGACGAAATAATAAATCTGACGAAATGTTTAATCATTTCACTTTATTTCTGGAAACTTTTTATTTTTTATACTGTAACATAAACTGTTTAATTACATTATCAAAAAAAACAGTTAAACACATACAAATAATAAATTTCAAGTAAAGTATATAAATTTAAAAATTAAAAGAAAAATTAGTATTCTATGGCTTCAAATGAGTTCGATGATTGTAATCTTTTTGCTCCTGAAAAAGAAGTTTTAGAAGAACTATGTGAATCTGAACAAGAAAAAAAAAACGAATTTAATTTGAACATAAAGGTAAAATTTTCATTGAATTGATATAATATATATAATATGCATAGCAACGTAGCCATAAGATAGTGTTTTTGTTAGTAGCTTTATTTTGCTTTTAAAAGCAATCTTTTTTTTTTTTTGAAAAAAATTAGATAAAAGTGGTGCTTTTATTGGTGTGCAAATTATCTTTCTATTGGATAATTTTTGTCCTAATGTGACAGTCTTTATTCACTGTAAACCTGTAATTAAAGGACAATGTCTTTATTCACTGTAAACCTGTAATTAAATTTGTTGATCCAAGTTATTATTATTAGCAAGTCTTAAGAATGGTTTAAGGGCTAGTAATATATGACATCTATTGGACCCCTATATATATATATATATATATATATATATATATATATATATATATATATATATATATATATATATATATATATATATATATATATATATATATATATATATATATATATATATATATATATATGTATATATATATAAATTAATTAATAGATACGATTCAAGTTTTTTGAATCGATTTTTAATTTGAAAAATGTTTGCAAGTTTTTTAGACATAAAGCATAAAGATGCTATTGAAGAGTTTTTATTTATCTTTCATATGCATATGCATATGTTCCATTTTTTTGTAAACAGTTAGGAGATAACTTATTAGGGTTTTTGGTATTAATTAGATTATTTATGCCTTACCAAAGCTTGCAAAGATTTTTTACATTTTTTGAGAAGAATTTTTTTTTAATGGATTTTTCTAATAATTTTAACTGATGTAGTTATCATATATTTTATATTAAAATATATCATATATTAAAAAATCTTAGAGTAAAATGAAGAAAATTTCCTTAAATTGGTAATTCTTAGGCAAGAGTAAAATTTCCTTAAATTGGTAATTCGTTATAAAACTAAAAATGCCAATATATATATATATATATATGTATATATATATATATATATATATATATATATATATATATATATATATATATATATATATATATATATATATATATATATATATATATATATATATATATATGCAGATGCTCATTTATTTATAATAAATATTTATTTTATTTAGATAGCTCTATTATAATTTTCATTGTTTATACCTGTGGTTAAGTATCAATAGATTCAAAAAATAATCAACTTTTATTATTGATTGATTTTTGATTCCTTGACACATAAGTTTGAAAGCTTGGAACAAAGATTCTAAAAAATAGAGAAATCAATTAAGTATATGATTCCATCAACAATTTTTGACTGCAAAGCTCAATAGGCTACAAAGAAAAATAGCTTAACGTTCTTAGTAAGTTAATTTCTTAAAGTTACCTTAATTTTGGAATATTGTAATAGTAAACAAAAAAAAAATTGTCCATTGATTTGACAATTGTTTTTTTGTTTACAATTATAATATTCTGTTGGTTTTTTTATTTAGGATTTCTCTTATTTTAACAAAGCATTATTTTGACCTTTTATAATTCTTTCCATTTTTTTGTGCAACTGCAGCTAACTTTAATTGTATTTTAAGTTAAAACTTTTATTTAATTTTTTAAAGGGTGGGATCTTCTTGTCAAAGAATTTTAAAAACACATTTCCTTTGTTTGTGGAAATATTTTTGCTATATGGGGGGGGGGGGATAAACCAAATTACATTTCTAGTGTTTACATTTTTAGAGTTACTTTTAGTTTAAAATTTTGGAAAACCACTTTTTTTATAAGAATTTTTAAAAATTCGTTTAGAGGAATTGAGTACGTTTTCATTAGAGGAGTTTTGGTTTAGCCGGTTATCAATTAAAATTTGGATTTGTTTTAGAATTTAGGGTGAATGGTTTTAATTAATATTAATATACAGTATACTGCATATATTTTAAATAAAACAATTGAATGGTTTTAATTAATTTTAATATACAGTATACTGCATATATTTTAAATAAAACAATTGAATGGTTTTAATTAATATTAATATACAGTATACTGCATATATTTTAAATAAAGCAATTGAATTTGCTAAAAGCCACACAGTTGTTCTGGAAGAGACAATCTGTATAATAAAACATTTCAGAAAAACCTTACTTTATTTTAATAAGGAAACTTAAAAAATAAGGATAAAGAAAAACATATATGACTGCCATGATGTAACAACCCAGCAAACATTTGGCCTAAAAAAAGGCATTTTCAATGTGCCTAAAAGAAGTCTTTTTTAGGCTAAATGTTAGCTGGGAATGGGCAGTTATCATGGAGCAGATATTTGTAAATTTGTTGGATGCTATATTTTAGATTTATTAAGTAAAATAATCCGTAATAATGATTTAGGTCTTTATTGTGATGATGTTTTAATAGTAATGCAAGGGTTGTGGAGTTTGAGTTGCAACATTTTTTAGCAGAGTCAGAACCGATAAACAAAATTGTGACTCCAACTCCAATAGTAAAACCTCTCTGTATTGCGTGTGCTTGTACAAAATATTTAACCTTTAAAGAATTTTTCATATATTTTTCAAAAAATATTTTTTTAAATTATCGCGTAATATTTTTTAAAAAAATTCAGAGTCGTGCTCTGAAAACCTAAACGATTATTTTTTTCATGACTCTGCAACCCTGTGGCAATGCATAAAAAATTTGGTCCACAGCTTGATTAAAACCAAGGCTTGATTAAAACCAAGCGATGAATTATTGTGTATTATTATTAACTCAAACGATGAATTATTGTATATTAATATTAATTAATATTACCCAAAATTTGACCCTAAAAAAAGAATACCAAATAGGGAGAGAGGACTAGAAATGTAATTTGGTTTAACCCCCATATAGCAAAAATGTTTCCACTAACATAGGAAAGGTGTTTTTAAAATTTGATGGTAAGCATTTCCTACCCTCCAATAAATTACATAAAATTTTTAATCAAAAAACAAATAAAGTTAGATACAGTTGTACAAAAAGTTTTTAAAAAATTATAAAAGGTCACAATAATGCTTTGTTAATTATAAGAGAAATCCTAAATGACAAAAAGGAAGAAAACTCTAATTTAAAACAAAAAAACAACTGTCCAATGAGTGGAAATTGTTTATCAAAAAACATGGTATATAAATGTGTTGTTTCCTCTAAGAATGTACCTGATAGGCAGTATATTAGCTCAATAGAGAGTGAATGGAAAAAAATGTTTTGCCAATCGTAAGCGATCCATTAAAAATAAAAAGTATTCAAAAGACACCATGCTGTCAAAATATATATGGAAATTAAATGATAAAAATATTGATGATTTATACTAAATTGATTCATCCTTAAACCAGTACCTGCATGTATAAATATTCCAAAATCAAGGTAATTTTAAAATTTTACTTACCGAGAACGTTGAGCTATTTTTCTTTGTAGTCTATTGAGCTTTGTAGTCAAAAATAATTGATCGAATCATACACATTGATTTCTCTATTTTTCAGAATCTTTGTACCAAGTTTTCAAATTTCAAAGAATCAAAAATCAATCAACAATAAAAGTTGATTATTTTTTGAATCTATTGACACTTAATCACAGCTATATACAATGAAAATCATAATAGAGCTATCTAAATAAAATAATTTATTATAAGTAATAAATATGCATTTTTAAGTGGAAATTGTTTATTAAAAAATGTGGTATAAATTGTGCTATGTAACTCCATCCAAAAGCATACAACCTTAATATTAAAACTGTGTTGGGCAACAATACATACTAATACATATGTGTAAGTACCTTTTTATACAGTAAGTAATTTATTATAACAATATAATAAGAATGGACTTATCTTATATATATAATACTTTATCTTATATATTTTCTCTATTCATGGTGATTTTGGTTGTCGCTTCAACTTTTTTTTTATATAAAATATATTTCTGCTCTCACAACAATGCCCTAAATATTAATGTTTATTTTTCTTTTTAATTATATATTACGATTATAAAAAGAAAAAAAAAACACACTATTATATCAAGGTATAGTGATATATGACCTTTTCCCTGATATAATTAAGTGTGCCTAATTCCTTCTTATGCAATAAAATAGAAGCAATGACCAAAAAATCTCCATATATAAAAGAAACAGCGTTGTTAAATTAAAAAAAAAAAAGTTCAAATTCCTACGGTTAAAAGTTGAGTAAATTGATTTTGAAAAAATAAACAAATTACTGGCTCATACTAAAATAGCATTCGAGAAAACGGAAGGTTTATCGTGCCAAGATCATTTTCAGCTTGTTTAACTTTTTTAATATTTGAAACCAAGTTATCAATCTGCTGATTTATTTTAATTATAAAATAAAAATAGAAATTTTTTTATTAACAAACCAACAACAAAAAGATTGTCATATAAAATGTTCGATATAGT